AAGGAATATCTTATCTTATCATACTTTCCTATGGCTTTCTCTTACTGCCCCTTCCCTCCTCTTTTACACTACACTTCCCTCTTCATATTACCCCCCACACACCCTCTGTCACCTGTGAATAACGACAATATGCACACTCTATTCATCACACACTACTGCACATGCTCAGTAGCTCTTCATTATATTAATTACTCTCATTGGAAGAGTGATCATCAGCCTCCGTCAGAATCCATCACCGCCCGGTTCCCACAGAGGCCCAGGCCCAGTAAATAATCACCGGTGTCGGTACCAGGGCTCAGGCCCCGCCATTCCCGTCGGACCCACCAGGGTGGGCCCTAAATACCCAGGGGGGTGCAGCTCCCACTGAGCCACATTCATCTCTGCCAGTGGAGAAGGTAGTTTTGAGGCCGGTTCCAGGGCTGTTGGTGCTCCTTCAGAACTGTAATGGGTGAGGGTGGGTGAGAACAGCGAAAAGTTAGTCTGAGCCCGGCTCAGCAGTCAGAGGGGAGTAACACATTATGTTTTACAACAAGCTCTGGAAAGGTGTATGAGGTTCTGTGGATTAATCTGTGTGGGGTTATAATGGCTTCAAGTGAAAAATGAGATCTGGTATCCAAACAAATTTATAAACTCTAACAAAATCAACCACAGCATCATGAGGGAGACCGCAGGATCGAGTTCACACCAAACATTCTCAGTGTGGTTCATCAGACTGTGGAACTCTGATTTTCTTGTGAAAGCAATGCCAATTAAGTTGAGGTAAACAGCCAAAATGTATAGTTCCACCTGTATCTACAACAGTTTGCACTGCTAAACAAAGTAGAAAATAAACAAAAAGTTTGGATAAAACAACAGGTTTTCCCCAATGGCAAAAACTGAGGGATCTGGTTTGAATTTGTTTGGGTGGTAATTTGTTTGTTTCTTGAACTATGCAGTATGTAGACCTATGCATGACTGAGACTAAATGTGTTGATTGATGCTCAGCAATGTTTTCATATCTTCATACAGTAACTGGTATAAACAATAAAACTGAATGAAATTGAATACAGGAACGGGTAAAGACAAATGTTTTTAGCTAAAGGGACTGGAATCTCGTTTAACACCAAAATTTCATTGTGTGATGTGTTTAGGTTAGTAAAACATCCACATTCATTTTGTTTTAAAGGATAAGGCTGGCATTATTCTATATTTTTGTTATAGTCAACAAATCTCATGAAAATATCCAAACTAAAATTGCGTTAGTCTGAATACTGTCCAACTTCCCCAGCCTGTCCGTGGCTCTCAGTCTCAAGTGTAAATAAATCCTAAAAATATTAAATTTATTTGTATAGCGCCAATTCATAACAGAAGTTATCTCACTTTTCAAAATAGAGCAGGTCTAGACCGAACTCCTTATAACATTATTTACCTAGACCCAACAGTTCCCACCATGAGCAAGCACTTGGCAACGGTGGCAAGGAAACGCTGCCTTTTAAGAGGCAGAAACCTCGGACAGACCCCGGCTCTAGATGGGTGGCCGTCTGCCTTTACCAGTTGGAGTTAAAAAAAAAAAAATCTATATGAAAGTATGATTAGTATTGATGGTAGAATGGTGCATATGGGATTGGCTCAAAATAAAATATGTCGAGGCTCATTGATGTGTTTCTAAATTGTTTTTGGATAACGGAGGAGGAACAAGCTATATCAGTACTTGTTAGTAGCATCGGTTCATTGTTGGTTTTGGTCTGTTTGTAGGATGAGTTCACAGTAAAGAAATTTTAAATATCACCAGACTTAGCATTTAAATCCATCTAATAGAGCCATCTGCTGTACAGGTTCACACCACTTCCCTTACACAGTATTTCGGATTTAGAAGAGAAGACCTTTTTGAAACACAACGACTGCAGCACCATTTAAAATGCTAATCAAAGATTTCGGTATTCATTCTAGATATACCAAACTCCAGCCTCTCGCTGTCCTGAGCATAGCAACTCTGACGGCCTCGTCTTGCTCCGTTTAAAGCTCTCTTCATGGCCAATTGACCTGATACCTCACTCTTGTCTCTGGCTAATTGAACAGAGAAGGAACGAGAGAGGGGAAGACGAAGATAGAGAGAGAGAGAGAGAAAATGAGGGGGCTGAGGAGGAAGGAATGATGTGGTAGAGGACGAGTGAGAGGAGAGAAGCGAGAGCTGGTGTAGCATGCAAGGCCTCATTGATTAGG